TAATTTTACAGAGGAGGGACTATAAAACTAATTCAAAGGATAAATATTTATTATACAACAGATAATTGATATATCCAAAGCAGATGAGTTGAGAAAATGAGCCTCATTTATAACCATCTAAATCCCTTTCAGTCAAGATTCAGGCCCAGACACAGGACAGAAACAGTATCAGTTATTGTTAGGGATGACTTTTATCAGAATCTGGATGTAGTACATCACATCTGGTCCTATTTGACCTCTCTGGCATTCAGTGGCATAAACTATGATTTCTTTTGGATCATCTGCAAAAGTTTGGGCTGGAGGTACTGTTGTATGGTGGTTCTGTTCTACCTGGGTGGATTATTCTAGTTAGTGGTTATGGGGGAAGATGATTGACCCCATGGTTCCAGTGTGGGCTTCCACAGGGCTGAATCTTCTACCCCATGTTACTCCATATCTACATGAAACTGCTGGGAGGAGACTTCATCGTCTGCTGAAGATACTCAATTATATACTGCTACGCAGAGGTGGGATAGAGATGCTGAAGAGGTCCTGAATCAGTGGCTAGAGGCTGTCGGAGACTCAATGGGAAGAAACTCAGAATAAACCCAAGCAAGGCAGAGTTGCTGTTTGTCCACAGACATCCTGGCTTCTCAGAAACATTTGTTTCAGCTGTGGCTGTAGATGGGTCACATTCAACCTGGAGGCACAGGTTCATGAGTTGAGGATTGTCTTTGACTTCCAGATCTGTTAGAATATTATGTGGAGACCGTGTCCAAAAAGGTCTTTGTCCAGCTTTTTATGATGCATTAGTTACCTGGACCAGGAAGCACTGGTGATAGGAACTCATGACCTTATCACCATGTGGTTGGACTGCTACAACTCACTCTACCTTTGAAGTTGACTTGGAAGCTACAACTGGAATGGAATGCAGCAGTCAGACTGCTGGCAGGCAGAGCCTGCCTTTGCAGAATAACACCTGTGTTATGGTTGCTGCACTGATTGCCTGCAGGCTTCCAGGCCTATTTCAAAGTACTGGTTTAAAGCACTGTGCAATGCATCATTTGCTTACCTTGGGGACTGCCTTTTCCAAATTGAGTCAGCCCATCTAGTTAAAACATCAAGAGAGGACCTCAGGGTCACACCCATGTGAGGTGGGCATGAGACAGAAGATATGCCTTCTTGGTTGTAGCCACCATTGTACCTGTTGCTGCAGAAATACATTTGGGCCCTTCTGGCTTTTAGGAAGCTTCTAAAAACCAACCTTTTAAACTGAGTGTTAGTGTGGGTCGAGGCCTAATGGAAAAGGGGGATGGTGATCTTTTATCTCTTCTTGATTGTTTTCATTGATATGACTGTTTAAATGTTAGCATTGCTGTAAAGATTCTTGTATACCACCCAGAGTCATGAGATTGAGGAGATACAAAAATAATGTTAAATAGGAAATGAAGAAACGCTATTGTGTGCATAAATACGTTATCAGGCACTAATATAAATTGTCTTACATGTAAAATATGGGAAGGAGGTATGTGAGACACACACACACACACACACACACACATATATTTAAGAAGATTCAGAGATAGCACAATCACACAATAGCTGATTAACTTGATTATGTGCCACAGTAGAATTTTTAACTATAGTGGCTCATGCTGTTTAAGTAAACCAGTTTGGCAAAATATGTTTCTGCATTGGTAGCAGTTGCCTTTTGGCAACTAAATAAATAAATGCATGAGCCAGGGATCTTTTGATACTGCTGCTGTCACTCCTTTCTGATGAGTGGGAGGTAGTCCAATTGGAACTTGAAATTCCATGTTTCTAGATCTACCATGCATGAATCTTCAGATATGTATAGAATATCTGAAGTAACCTAGAACATGGTGTTGCTGTTTTCCCCTTTTAATTTGCATAGGATGTCCTGTTTGTTCACCCCTCAAGTATTTTTGCTTTGTCCATCTTGGTGGATTAGATTTCCTAAAATAAAAGGAGTGGGGAGAGATAGGAAACTCTGTGATCTGCAGGACAGGCGGGGGAACTTTTTAGGCTCGAATAATAAGGGTTTGAGCATGAAACAGCATGAAACCTGGTTTTGAGTGCAGAATGGGCATATGTTAAGGAGGGGACAAATGGCAACGTGTGTGATTATGTCATGCAGGTGTCATTTGGTTTTGCAATTTGGGCAGATGACATTGACTCAGTGGATCGTGATTAACATTTTGTCTTTGCCTACTTCAAGATCTTTAGATTTCAGTAATTAGGTATCTTACTGAACATGCTCTATATATGCTGATATTGGGCTTTAATTCCATTAAATGCAGGTTGTCATAACTTTTTCTCAGTATGCTTCTACTAGCTAAGCTATTAGAACATGCACATTAGTACTATAGAACTCTTGTTTCTTCCTTAGTTTAGCTGCTGCCTAACTTTCAGGACAGCCTACTATAATGTGTTTGATAAGAAACCAAGGGAAGGGTTATTATGATAATTAAATAAACAAATATTTATTGATTTATTGAATTTATATGGCAATATCAACTGGTTGCACAAATATCTAAGAAATACAGTGAATGAATTGAATCATTATTTGTTCATATTTAGAGCAAATGAACATTGAAATATTTGGTAGGTTACTATTTTGTTGCAGTTCATGTCCATGCTGAAACGTTCATGAGTAAACACCATCCATTATGATTAATATAGATTAGAACTTTGTGTTAAACTTTGACAGATTGGGTTTTAATACTCAAGCGCTGGAAAAACTGTAGTGAACATAATTAACGCTCATTTGACATAATGGCTAATGTGTTGAACTAGAAAAATCCAGGTTCAAGTCTGTACTCAGCCACAAAAGCTCATTGTGTAATTGCACTGGTCATTCCTCACAGGGTTATTGTGAGGATAACATTGGAGAATGGAATATGCTGCCTTGAACTTTTAGGGGGAAAAAGGTTGCTTATCTTAAAACATATATTACTGGTACTGCCTATGCAAGGCCATTTTGAGAAAAACATTTTTACTTAATAGATGAAAAAACGTTTGTGCTCCTTCATGCTGTCTGTAAATAATCCATCTAGAAGAATATGCTAAAACCTCACATGTCCTTCCTTCCCCTACCCTTGTCTTCCCAAGTAGGACTCCAGCTTTTATCTCATTTTGCTATTACTGCAGTTTCTGGGGGATGAAGTTTCATTTGCTTGTACCTGGTACTTGTTTTATGGTTTCCACTTCTATAAATCAGGTAGTAGGCATACTGTCTCCTTGAATAGTTTTATTTTAGAAAAATTGAACTTGAAACATGTCCACAATCCATTATTTGTTTTGATAATAAACTTTAATATTCTGCATTGATTGGTACAGATGATGTTCCACTGTTGTATGAAATGCTTTCAGACTGTGTGGATGTTGTAAAAGAATGTTTTAAATCTGATCATGAATCACTGAAGATGCTTGTTGCAATATATGAAAATAAATACCTATGCTATTTAGAATTTCTAACTATGCCACTGCTGTAACATAAAATTAGTACATATAATAATAATTTATTAAAATTGTATGCCGCCCAACTCTCAGTGACAGACAGACTCTCTTTCTCTCTCTCTCTCCATAGAACATACATGCTAAAGAATAACTTCTTTAGCTTACTTAATCTGATACAGAATTATATTGGGAGGGTGGAAGTAATTGATGCCAAAACATCTAAAATATTTTCTTTGCTGCTTTTTCAATATAACCATAGCTTCCTCTGAAGAGAGATAAATGTGAGTTTTGCAGTTTGGTTTAGTTGCGAAAGGATATGAGCAAGTGGGTAGGCTAGTGAATATTATTGACAGCAGCAGAAACACTTTTTACTGTCCCATGTAGTTCATTTATGCTTGAAATCAGATTATTTCTTGAATTGAAGATGTATAGAACTGCGGTACATTGAACATCTTTAGTCTATAGATGGATAGTTTTGTGTTTTTTAATAGAGAAATATTTTGAATAGTGGAACTTTAGTACAGATAGTCCTCGACTTATGACCATTTGTTTCGCAACTGTTCGAAATTACAGCGGTGCTGAAAAAGGTGATTTGTTAGCAGTTCTCGCATCCCCACAGTCACGTGATCAAAATTTGTGTGCTTGGCAGCTGGCATGTATTTACGATGGCTGCAACATCCAGGGATCACGTGATCGCCATTTGCAACCTTCCCTGTCAGCTTTTGACAAGCAAAATCAATAGGGAGCCATGTGATTCACTTAACGACCATGTGATTTGCTCAGCAACTGCCACAAAAATGTTGTAAAATCAGGGCAGTCATGTGATGCCTCACTTAACAACTGCACTGCTTAATGGCCAATTTCCCGGTCCCAATTATGTTCATGAGTCGAGGACTACAACTTAAGTTATATGTGGTAGAGAAATATAAATAAGTAAAAAAAATAAGGCCATAATGTACGCCGCAAATTATTTTACTATAATTTCTTCAAAAAGTTTTTTTTAGTAGTTCAGAATATTTATTGCATAAAATTAACCCTCAGGGCTAATTTTAGTTACTGATCCATTTTTCTTAATATTTGTGGCCTAGGGAAATGTCTCTCTTGTTCTGATACCAGATCTTTAAACATATGCAGATGTTGACCAACATAAAGTTTTAAAAGCCATTTGTTAAGATCTCAGTTCCTCCAAGAGTAAAAAAAAATGACCACATTTGAAATTTTGGCTGATAATTTATTAATGAGGGAAATAAAACATAATCATGATTGTCTGCCTTCTACTTTTATAGGACTCTTTAAAGGAAGATAGTAGTGCTTTGGGAAATACTGCTTGGGAAATACTGCTATACAATTTTTTATCAAAGTGTTTTGACATCTGCTGAGATTCTGCTGTGGGTGAACTTGACTGTACTGTTCATCTTACAGCCAACTTGCTTTTGAGTTGTTTTAAGTGTTCGAAAATGGTTTTGGCTGAGAAGTGAATTACTGTATTGTCACCTTCCATGACAGACTTGCATTCTCAATATTCATTAAATCTATTTCAGGATGCTTATATTCATTAAAACATTCCCAGCGTGTCTAGAGAAGTGAGCAAAGTTCCCAGGATCGAAAAGGCATTGGAGAACCTTCTGAACTTGACAAATTGCTGGATGTTCTTGAATGAGTAAGTATTTGGATTTGAAATACATAAGTTTTTTTTTAAAAGAATGTTAGCTGCTTCAAGTGGTCAATTGAATGGGAAATAAATAAAATTAATTACATAATAAGAAAGATTGAACATAAAAAAGCTTACTGAAAATAATAGCACATTTTAAGTAGTTCGAAGATCTTACTTGCTTATGCTAACCACAGATAGAATAAAACACAGTTTCCCAACTGGGGAGGAACAGTATTTTATTCAGAACTATAAACACAATCTTCAGTTTCCTTCAATCTTGTGCAAATAGGATAGGGGAAACATGTCAAACTTGTTAAAGTTATAAATGTTAAACAATGATTTTGGACTGCATATGAACTGGAATATAGCAATTTTTCTTTCAAATTTCTTTTACATTATATTTCAAACACCATAGCTAAGTTTGCACATGCAATTAGGACTGTCATGTCGGGGCTGCAAAAAAACATATTAACTACTAGGTGGTAGGAATGAGATAGAGTTTTCTCTATCCCTTTGCCGCCATCTAGTAGTCATCCAAATTCAGGTTGTCTAGACACGGTATACGTATGTGAAAGAAAGCCAGAATTTCCAAAATGTTAGCCTACTATGACCTACTAAGTTGCTAGTTTGTTAGATTATAGATAAATTAATGGAACCCAGTTTGTTGTAGCAATTAAGTGCACTGGACTAGAAACTGGGAGACTATGAGTTCTAGTCCTTAGCATGAAGTCAGCTGAGTGACTTTGGGCCAGTCACTCTCTCTCAGCCATAGGAAGAAGGAAATAGCAAACTACTTTTGAAAACGTTGCCAAGAAAACTGCATGTATTTGTCCATGTAGTTGCCAGAAGTCAAGACTGACGCAAAGGCATAGGTAGGTGGATGGATGGATAGGCATACAACCATCCTTTCTCAACTCAAGGACTGCATTTGGCCTTCAATTGGCAAAAGTAGGCTGGACCCAAGTAAACCCCAAATTTGATTCTGTTTCAGTTTAATACATCTAGATACAGTGGGGCAAAAAAGTATTTAGTCAGCCACCAATTGTGCAAGTTCTCCCACTTAAAAAGATGAGAGAGGCCTGTAATTTTCATCATAGGTATACCTCAACTATGAGAGACAA